CATTTTCTAAATATTCTGGGTCTCACTGTAACTGAAGGAATTCTAGCTGCTTTTACTATCAGTAGTTGTCCTTTCTGAAGGAACACAATATTTTGCAGCTGAGAGTTCAGTTGTGAATGTGAGCAAAATAGGATACGGTTAAAAACTTGCCAGAGTTGAAGTGATTAATTTGGGATAGATCTTCCCCTCTGCTATGTATGCGGTTTTCTACTTCAAAATGTGCTTTTCTCAAGGTTCCTGCTCTATTTCCATCTGAAAGGTAGCAGTTCATCCAAACCATAAAGCACCTTTGTATGTTTTTGGATGAAAGGTGGTATGTAAATATTAAATAGTGTGTAATATTAATGTCATGACATTTTTTGATTGATCTATGGAAGACAAAGCTTTAAAGATTCTGTCACCATGTTGATGTCTTAAATCACTTGTATGTTCATTACGAAGAGTTAAACCAGAGTACTTTCATAGCAGGATGTTTTTAATATCGTTGCAACAATTTAAATTTAAATACACATTCTACTGATTAAATTATGTGATGAATTGTTTTCCTCTTTGCAGCTGCAAACAGATTATGTGCTGGCTGGCCCAACAGTCGGCTGAAAAAATCGATAAATTCCGAGCTCATGCAGGATCAGTGTTCCTTACTCTTTTACATTTTGACCATCCTCCAGTTCCACACATACCTCATCGAGAAGAGCTAGAGAAGATATTTCCAAGGTAATAATATTGAAGAAGTTATCCTAAACGATGAGAATAAAAAGATGCATGGATGCAGTTACACCTAACACAAGCAGCCTGATGTAGTTTCTGTCCCCAAATGCCTACTATGTGTATGGAGGAATATTTGGTGCTGTTTGTTGGAATTTCATTGAAGCGTGCAATGAATATGCATAAACATATGAAATAGAACATCTTATTGTATGAGTGCATGTTAAGACCATAGTTTCTGAAGGAGATAGGTCTTACATGGTCATGCTGTGTAAGTCTTTCTCTGGATCAACCCCAGTTAGTTTCTGAACCCATCAGCCAGTTTCATGGTGGAGGTTATGGCAGTAGTAGATAGTTGGGACACCATTTGTAAAAGAGATCTGCTGGGAGCTGTTTTTTGGTAATCCTGCTGTTTATGAAATGTCTGGTTTATAATCTCATTTTCTCTTCCTGATGTTGAGAGCTGGAATTAATTGGCAGTCCCCCTTCCTGAATTTATTTTTCCTTGACTGGAAAACACTGATTGATCATAATGACAATTTTTAATTAATTGTATTCTTTTAACCAAGCTGTAGTTGCAGTAGTTTTCCAAGATGGGGTTTCTAGTTAAAATAAAAGTGAGAGCAACTCATTCCTGAATGGGGATTATAATACCTGATTAGGATGAGGAAGATCCAACTTTGTGTCCCTGTTGTTTGCTCAGCAGAATCTCAACCTCCTGTAACTCAAAAAGTGCTCTGCCTGCTAGGCTGCTGATTGATCGGGGGGCGGGGGGGTGTATGTCAGCCCTTCCTGGGATAAATCTGTCTTTGTATCAGTTGTTGATGGGAGAGAACTGGGAATGGAACGCAGGAAGGAGAACTTGTTTTCTTAGCATAGAGAAAAGTGCATGTGAAAAGGAAACTGTGGTTCAAATCCTTTATCTGAATCAGGACAAGGACTTGAAGATTGCTTCACTTTACTGGCAGGGGCTGAAGTTTTGATTTCTAATTTCCTCATATGCTCAAAGAGCAATGATTAATTTGATTTCTAGGTAATTCAGAGACTTCTTGGCTGGCGTGCTGCTTGAGGATGAGGAGCTATCACAGGTATGTATGGAGAAGAAAGACAGTGCACGCATACGAGATTTTTTTTTTTTTCCTTCCCCTTTCCCCAGGTCAGAGAAAGAGACTCTAAACTGGAACGCTGCATCAGAAGCTTTCCCTCGAATCACCCAGCTTTTGGGTTTGCCAGCATACCAATACTATGTGCTCTTGGGGCTCTCGGTGTCTGTTGGTGGATTAACAGAAACAACGGTAAGAAACCAGAGTGGCTTTCCTGTTTGGTAGGAGAATGCATTTACCTGATACAATTGTTGACTGTTTAGTCTATTACACTGGATAGCACAGATTGTTATTTCTATGAGAATCTCAAAAATACAATTTTTAAAAGAAATGAAGTCATACTTATAAACCTGATGGGCTTTATATTTTTCATAGTTAAAAGTATTTTCTTGAGTTATTGAGCATGCAGGAAACAAGGAGTAAGGACTCTGTTTCTCATTTCCTGGCCTGATAGAAGCTGAGTGTTCCAGTCTGTTGGCTCAATCAACTCTTACGTTTATTTGCTCACCTTTCCAAGCTGTCAACAAGGGAAGAGCTGTTCAGCTTGCTTAATGCTCAGGCTAGATGCAAGATGATTGCTCATTTTAAGTGAGGTCAATCCCTGTTTTCATTTGTAACCTGTGTTCTCTTTTTTGTTTCATTTGGTAATGGTACAGGGTGTTAATTATTAGTTGTCAATATGTGTTAACAGTATGTTCAGATATTTTTTTTGTTAATTTGATACATTTTCTAAAAAAGTACCAAAGAGATACCAAAAGTTACAATACAAAGAAATGTATCATTTAAATGTCTATCTGAATCCTCTGAGCTTTGCAATCTCTATTTCATTCTTCTGTGCATGAACAGTGTCTGGATCATGGTTTTTGGTAGTCTGTTATGCTGCCGAAATCTTCCAGACTTTATTATGGTTTTAGTGTATCCTTGTGTCCTTATATTACAGCTTGTCTTGCTAGTTTCTGAATTCTTGGTTTCAAGATATTTGGCTTTTTTGTTATTTGATGTAGCCAAACGTAACATATATGAAAACAACTACTGGGGTAAGGACACAGTTCAATACAAGATTCAAAATGACACTGCAGAGAAATATCAGAAATATCAGTAGCAGAATATTCTGGACTGTCAGTCAAATCTTTAAATTGCAGTGGCCCTGTAACAGGAGGAGGAGGTCATGAGTCAGCACCCCAACAGTGTTTAAGAGTGTTTCTAATTAAGATTGCCATGTCTAATTAAGAAAGCTGGTAGAAAAGTGGTCGGTGTTGGGCAACACAGGTTTGTGGAGAGAGACCAGCTCCTGCCGGGTTCACAGAAGGAAAGAGGTAATCATTCCATGGCTGCCGCTTTCTGGTCTTACCATGAGCTGTTCAGAATATGCCCAAACGATGTTTTTTCTCTGGTGCCACGGGTTCTGCGCTTGTGATCCAGAGATGTCCGTATGCCTCTGGGATTCCTGTAGCCGAGAATTTGGTGTCTGTGCAGTCTCATGTATAAAACCAATTTTGAGAATTTTATTGTTTCTAAAGTGGCAACTAATTATATAGCAACAGCTATTTTAAAACTTTGAAAACATATGCTTATTGGTTTGTGGCAATAATTATCAGATAGACAATGTAACTCTTAACAGATTTTTTTAATAGCAGGCATGCACATGAAATTCAGCTTTTGGTCAAACAGTTAATTATAGGAGGCTCCAACAAAACCAAAGTTATTCGTATAAAAAAAGGAGGAGAGTTGTGGAGGAACAGACATTCTGACTGCTAACCGAAGTCAGAGGATAATTCTTATTCAACATTTTAATTGTGTTTTTTTTTTAAAGTTCCGGTTGTGCTTGGTTTTGAAAAGTGTAAACAGTCCAGTTACTTGTACCTCCCTTCCCTTGTTACCATCTGCCAGTATATTTAAGGGAAACCTTCTGTACTGTTTTCAAAATATGATTTTGAAATGTTAACTTTCCGTGACCCTGCATTTTTCTTTAACGCTAACGGCTTGTTCCGGTTAAAATATTCTCAAGGGCTTTGGCTTTAGAAAGAAGATGACCTAATTCTCTTTTGAGCCAGAGAGAAGTGCTAGGGAGGCTCAAAGTATAGGGTACTTACACTTGGGATTGTACAGCGTGTGGCGAATTACATTTAATATTTAAAATGTGATAGATAAATTAGAATTGATGCGTCTTATAATGACTTGTGTTTCAAACTATTCTATCAAAGCCTGTAGTGCTCTTTACTGAATATCCAGGGACTGATTTAAAACATTAATAAAAAAATTTTAAGAACTGTTCCTATTAAATCCATATGAAAGAAGCCAATTTTAAAAATCTTGGATAATGGAAAAAGATTATTTAAATATGTGTTCTTGCAGTAACCTCTGCGTGTTCTTGTGAGCTCTCCTTTCTTCCCTTTCTCGCTTAAAAAATATATACGCACATTCACACATGGACATAGAAGTTAGAAAGTCAGAAGATTCTCGTATACTGCAAGATAATCTGAGTTCCAATGTCAATTTGTCTTTAAGTCATTTTGGGGAATTAGTTGGAGAAAGGCTCTATTGTAACTCAGTGGTCAGTGGCTGGTTTTCCATAGTTAAAATTGCTCTGCAGTATATTTAGCAAGAGTAGTTCTTTGTTTTGCTTTTTAAAGAGATTTTCTGAAATGAGCTGTGTGGGGTATCTCAGAAACATTTTGGTGGCAGGATGGTTGCTGAAAGAATTGTGGCTCAAGCATTTGAAGTAATCTGGAAAAACAGGAGATGTCATTCCCTTTGGGATTTGGCATTCTGCAACATCGCCTTGGTTCAAAGGGCACTTTCTCTGTGTAAAAGAATCTTCTAATTATATATCTGGCCCACAATGATGCATATTTCTTATGGCTGCATAAAAAATCCTCTCAGCATATGGAGATCAGAACTATACAATGGTGTTCTTTCTCCAGTTCACAAACCCTGTAGTTTGAGGGGTCGAGATATAATTCTGATATAATTTCATGATTGTTCAACTACACTGCATTTGAAATTTTGTTAAAGCACAGAATGTCCTGTGATTCCCCTCCCCCCCCATAGAGAGTGAAAATTACATTTTAAAATGTTACACAAATTTTAAGTAAAACCTTAAAAAAAAAGCAACCTATTTTGGAAATTAAAAGTTTTCTCCCTGGCCAGTACCAGGATTACAGTATGAGATGCCAAAGAGCTGTAACAATTGGCGTAGCCAGTTCCAAAACTATCCGATGAATGCATATGGATGTTACAGCACCTGACAAAAATTAAAGCCTGTCTATGGCATACGGATGTTAACATTCTGTATGTGCCAAATACATTACACAATTTATGTTTCACCTTCCTCAAAATGGACTCGTTTGCCAGGGATGTTTATGACTGTATGTACCACTTGGAGAAAATATGGGCTTTGAACAGCTGTGTTAGTTCTTACAAATGAAAATGTTGGGACGTTCGTAGATGATGTTCTAAAACATCTGGTTACTTTGACAAATTGTATGCAAATTAATGCATATTTGGGTTGAAGGAACAGGCCTCAAATCCAGTTTTCTTGGTTGACAATTCTAGAGCAAAATACATTTGAAAATAATTTCTGTAATTCTTTTTTTAAAGAAAAAAAAAAAGTGTGAATGGTTATATTACTACTTCTCATAAAACATCACTGACTTCAGTCTTAGAGTTACTGGCCTCCAAAGATTTGGTTCATTAAAAGGAGTGTTGCAAGCAAAAAAAGGGAAACACGGTTTCACTTGTGCTAAAATTTAAACGATATGCAATTTTTTCTGAAGTTACTGGGAAAATAGGCTACTGCCACTTCAGAGCTGTAAATTTGTCGGGATTAGAAATGATCCCAAACCAGTGTTATTTATTGAGCGTAGTGTGGTTTCTTCTGCACGCGTTACAGGAATGTTCTGACTCCATGAGTAGGTCTTTTTCTGTTGAAACGCTTCTATGAAAACTGGAGCCTTGAGCAATTGTCTGTATATAAAAATGCTGATTTTGTCCAAGCCTTTCCGCAGTTATTCACTTAACTTCCATTTGTGGTACGTTAGGCGCAGAAGACTGAATTCTGTTCAGATACTGGGGCTCCAAGGAGACTGACAACCATTAGGGTATGTCAATCTGCTGAACAACTTCAGTACAGGCTCCTCCTTTCTCATCAGGCTTTTACATCTGATCTGTCTTTTCCCCTGGTTCAGGAGGTAAAATCCTTAGAACTTTTAATTTTATCATCAGATGAATGGTCCCTTTGAACATTGTTCATTGTATCATGTATTGCCTATTACTGAAGTACCTACTCATGGCTTAAATGATGTAAAGCCTTGGCAAACCCTATTTTTACTATGTTTAATAAGAACAAGGTCATTCTCAGGCCTTCTCTTAAATTCTTATCCAAAGTTGTCCCAGTTCCAGCACATTAACCTCCCAATTTCCTTTCCCAGTTCTCATGCAGCCCCAGGGAAAGGTAAATGTCACACATTTGATATAGCGTGAATTCTGTGTTCAGCACAGGTGAGGAAGAAATTTGGAAATGCTCTTCTCTGCAAATACTCATGAGCAGTTAAGGTTATAGCTCAGATATTGCCCTCGTAGGTTATCTGGGAGAAAAGGAGTGTTCATCTGAGGAAGAAATACGGATTTAACTTGTTCGTGTAATGTTATGTTGTTATGTTAGAGGTTCTTCCAGTAAAGTTCCTGTGGTCTACACTGGTTATTTGAAAGATGTCCCATTTTTAAATCTGCCAAGCAGCTAGCTGATGGTTTTATCCACACTTGTACTTTCATATAGTTTTAATTCCTTGCTAATGAAAAAATGCTGTCTTCATTATACAGGGCTTTTTTATTATCCTCCTATTCTGTCTGGTTTTGCACAGCTTTGGAACATCCTACGTGTAGCTCTGCTTGCCCTTTTCTTTTGTGCCCATTCTTGCCTTTTCAATCATTTGAATCTACAAGAAAAGCATTAAAGAATTAAGCTACTTCAAAAAATGGTGCGAGATCTGCAAGGTAGTTTAAAAGACAAAAGAAATAGGAGAGAAAATTACAGAGTTAACCATGTACATTTTAAGATCTTTTCCTGAGACTTGACTTGGATGTAACCTGCCTTCTGCTTCTAACTGATGTCTGCTAGTGTAAGGTATTAAGACAAAATACTCCTTCTTTATTGATAAAGGTCTTAAATGCACAGATTGTTTTAAAGGGTAGTATACAATCCTTAAGCAGGTTTTAACTTTTCAGGAAATCTCTCTTCCTTACAGTTGTATATTGTGTAAAGACCTTTCAGAGTAAGGATACAGTTTATACTCGGCACACAGGGAAACCTACCAACCCTACTTCTGGCATATGAAAAAACCACACTCAGCTCAATTCGGGATTCAGTTTACAGCTGGCTTTTACAAATGTTTAAACAATTTTTACTGAGATTTGACTATCATTTTGAAATGCAGCATAATGCAGTAATTTCTTTAAATTGCTTGACCCTTTTAAAGAAATATTTCTGTGTCTGCATTGCCAGTTTGCTGCTTCAACAGTTTGCTTTATAGTGAAGCAGAGGATGTAACTTCCAGGTAGTATGGATTGCTGTGCCTTGTTGTTCACAAATAGGCTAAAGCTTCTGAGAACTAGTTCCGAGTTTTGATGCAAGGCTAAAATGTTTCTTGTTGTTCTGTGCTGATACACCCACAAATGTTGCTGATATAAAATTCAAATTAGATAAAATGTTTAAATAGAGATTCCTCTCTTTTGCTTTCAGGAAGACACTTGTAACACTTCTCATACTGATCTAATTTTTTTTTTATTTTTCTTGATAAGAGGGTCAATCTTCTGAGGGAACTGATTGCGCCTTTGAATGAGCTATCAAAATGCTGTGTCTGAACTTCAGAAAGAAAACCCCCATGAACTGAATAGGCTTACTTATTGCTTGCTTGGCTCAGCAGAAAATGATTTAACACTTGCAACCAAAACTGAAGGAAGTTTGTCCTTCAAAACTGATCTGCCCCCCTCCCTTTCCCACAGCCCCCTTCATTGTAACCCAGTTAAGAAACAGGGGACACCCTTTGACCAACCCCCCTTCCCTCAGCGCCTTGTCTGAGCCCCAGCAGGACTGATAATCCTTCACATCAGAGTCAGGAAAATTCAGAAATCTGATTATGTTCATCCTCGATGGGATATTCTCCTTTGAGGTAGTTTCTGTAACAAAAACACCCAAATTTTTGTTCTCATCCTCGAGGGAAGTCAGTATTTTAAAGGATGAGCCTGGAAACTAAAATTCCTACTTTTCCCAGAAATGAAAAACCATAGCATTAGTAGCGATGTTCGTATAGCTCGTCGCAGTCCTCGTCCCGCTGCTCTGAGGTGCACCATTAGCTGCTTGGGGACCCAGATCCCGCGGGAAAGGGGGATCCTGCAGAGCCTCTGCCTTCCCCTTCCCACACCGCAGGTCCAGGCTTCCAGGCTGGAGCCGAGCAGGGAAGGGCGAGGAGCAGCCGGCCTGGCTCGGAGAAGGCTGAGCCTTGAACACAAGCACCAAAACCTCCTTCTGCCATCTTTTTAAACAGGCTGATTAACATAATAAAGTTAAACTGAGAGTCATTATTTCTGAGTTGTTTTTAATTCTTAACCCGAGTTTACTGTTGGTTTGTGTGGCCTGCACCATGAGCTTGCCTGCATTTTTCAATTACATCAGCTTGTTTAATAAATATTACCTCTTGAACTTCTTGTGTACTCTTTAACTTTCAGAGCCATAACATTATTATTATTATTTGAAGTAAAGTAGGATAATCATAGCTGTTTGGGGATGTTTTATTTCGACAGAAAGAAAATAATGAACCTTTAATGTGGTCTTTTTTCCTACAATGGCAAAACTTTAAAAGTATTAAAACCCCCTTCCTTGAACAAAGATTAATGGCAGTAAAATAGCCATCTTCCTGTCAAATGTTGATAGTGAATTTATTCACTTGACTGGTGTTGGAAGAATATCTTCACAGTGCAGGTGTACACCTCAGGCGGTGAGGGGTAAGTATAATTCTGCGTAGTCGGTGTTTCTGTGTCGCAGCAGGGTTTGTTCCTATGCCTTCATTTGAGGTTCCCTCCGTTGTAGCTCAGATACTCTGCCCAGAGCCTTTTTGACTACATGAAAAAAATCCAGAATGATTCCAGTGCTATGGAGAGTTTTTGTGAGACGTTGCTGAAGGTCTTTGAGGACAACTTGCGGAATGACCGGTAATGTTGTTCTTTTGCTTTTTTATCTTTAACTTCTTTGTAGTCAGATGTATGGCACATCTTTTTTAATATACCTAGATGAAGTATGCCTGACCCATGTACATTTGCTTTAATACAGCTGTTTGGTACAGCAGTACCTTTGGTAAAATGTGCAAGAAAGGAGTGATGGTGGAATACTTTGCATTTCTATAGTTTAATATTGGGCATAATGTGATAAGCACCAGCTTTTATATCATGCAGTAGTGGTGATTTGTATATTGCTGTGCACTTTTCAGTGTAGTTCAGTCTGCATTTTGAAGTATAATTGTCTTTTCAAGGTTTTTCTTTAAAGGTGACTCATTATGCATAATGAGATTAATTTCTCTAAGCCTCATTTATCAAACATGCGCACAATAGCAAATACTCCCTAGAGTGGAAAAACCCCACAACTATTAATAGAATTTTCAATTTTATTTTAATGTTGTTTCTTTTCTCAGCTGTTGAAATAGAAAACATGACCTTAGTTATTCCAGCTGACATGTTGTGTATTGGTTCATTTGGTAATTACCTGTAGTGAGAAGGTGGTGTAACTTCTAATATGTTTTGTGGAATACATTGTTTAGATACTAGAAAATAAATTAATATCTTCTACTAGTGTTAATTTTGTTTTCAGGACCCTGCAAGTTTAAACCAGGCGTGGTGTTAATTAGGTTTTTTCCTTTTGGCTGTAACGGAACGTCCCCCTCTCAGCCAACGAGGATGATTTAGCCAACACACAGAAGTTACCGAGCAACCCTCCTCTGTGTAAATTAGAGTTCTAATTTAAATATGTGTAGGTAGATAGGAAGTTTCTTTCTTTGCTTCTAATTAAAAATAGTGTATATATGTATGCCAAGAAGTGTATTTACATTGTTAAATTATTTTCTTTCACCAGGGTATCTGTACCTCTCCTGACAATGCTGGATCAAATGCTGGCAAATGGCTGTTTTGATATATTTACCATGCAAGAGAAGTAAGTTGTTGGAAGTCTTTTTTGTATATTTTCCACCACGCAACAGGCCTCTTAAATCTTACACTGACTGCTGCTGAATGTTGCTCTAGGTGTGGGCGCGTGGACTCTTAAGCGCGTGTGTATATGGATATAACATTGTGTTTTCATTTTCCTGGAGTGGGGCACTGTGACCAAAAAGTCTTGAAAGGGTCTTGATAAAGTCTGTGACCTTCATTGGTGTAGAAGTGGGTTATTGGCTCCTTGTTTAACAACCAGTACGTTGCTCAAATCCAATTTGCATGTTTCACCTGGCAAAATTGGGCCAGTATCAGATCCATTTAGCTTCTTCCCGTGGCTACCTCCCGAAGCGCATGCTTTTTGGAGTACAGTCATTATTGTTCTGCGAGCCTTTAGCAATGGCAGTGGCCTGTTGTGATGCTGCAAAGTAGATGCCTACAAGCCAGCGTTTCCAAAACCCCGCTGCCTTTGTTACTGTGAATATCACCAAAGAAGTTAATTAAGATCCTAAGAAGAAGAACAAAAAAGGCATGTCTCAGCTTTTCCATACTGAGTTCAGTCTTCTGGAAAGTATTTTGTTCGGGAATGGATAAACATGAATAAGATATTCCAATGTGAAATGCTGCTTTTTTGCAGATGTTTCAGAAGAGAGTGATTTTAATTTCAGTAATATTAAAATATATTCCACAAACCCTCACAGGCAGCATCTTGGCACATCTACAGATATTTGCAGAACTGTACAATCCTACGAGCACGTATACTGGATTTGGAATCTGTTGATTCAAGAATTGCTCACAGCATATACATTTGAAAAGCCTTTATCACGCTAAAAGTTTTAATTGAGTCTATTCTTGTATTTAAATCTCTTAAATCAAATTTGGCCGTCCCTTTTTGAATGGGAATTTAAAATTAGTGAAACACTCACAGATGGAATGAATATTTCTTGTTCAGTTTGGTAATCACGCCAGTGATCTGGGACTTCCACGTAGGCTTCAGTCTTGCCTGCTGGGGAAGATGGTAGATTATGCGTGGAAATCCCGGGTAAAGTCTGTGTCTCCCACGTGGGAGAATTTAGTTCCTGCATGTGGCAGATTTTGGTAATAAAGGTACCTTACGGTCGAGAGGTAATCACGAACAAGTTACTGCGTGTACTTCATGCAGAGCCAAGAGAACCTGACGTACTGGGTTCTGCAGTGCTCCAGGAGCCTGTGTGTGGGTCAGCTGGGCGGATGGGTGAGCCCAAAATTGTATCAAGTGCAATGTTTGCATTTTCTTACTTTGGCGTGTGTCATTTGGATGTAGTTAGGGATGGATAAACCCGGATCCTGGCTCTGAAGCCTGCCTGCCCTTACTCTTGGATGACACCTGCTCTTTTTGCATAGAAGAATATGGACAAGTATGCTGTAAAAATGTAGAAACACAATGCAGAGTAAGCCTGAAAATTGAGGCACTCCGTTTGGTGGCATGAAAAGGCCACGTGTGGGTGCAGTTTCAGATACTTTGATATGAAGCATGCCTGTAATAAGAGCGAGGAGGTGCGCGGTTGTTTTAGAAAACAGTATTACTGCTGGTGAGCAACTTCCATGTCGCTTCGGTTCTGCAGTGCACTTCTTGCTTGTCGCGTAGCAAATGAAAAACTTTTCAGAGAAGCTGGGAATGAAACATTAGCATTCCTTGGGGTGTTTGGCTCCCATTTCATCTCTTTACACACTGGGCTGAGTGGAGTTTTAGCAAGGCAACTTGGGCTGTAGGATGTCTGGCATCAGGATTATGTCTACACCAGCACTTAATAGTCAACTGTCACATTATAAAATGTATTTGCAAATGCATTTTGAAGTTTCAAATGGATATTGTGCACTATCCTGGACCTTTTTTTTCCTAATAAAACATTAGCAGTCCAGAGCAGGTCATCTCCTACACTGCTTAATTTAAACAGGATTAACAGCTGTCAGCTGAATTAGTTTGACACTCGTTAGGAGCTCAGTGCTCCTGTTAAAGCAAATTGCCACATGGTGTCACTCCTGCCCCGCAGAGGCATAGCCCACGGTGCATTTTCCTGCCCCTTCACACCATGCAGCTCATGAAGTTTAAAATACGCAGTTCGGCATTTCTGACCTAGTTCTGTAGATGGATTTCAGCGTTTGTGAAGCGCTCTGTGGCTCATCTTGTGATCTCTGTGCAGAAGGGCAAGTGGACCACTGGGTGTTTCTCCTCCATTATCGTCCTGTGAATGCTGGTGTTTAAAGTGAGATTGATTTGTCACGTGTGGGTCCTTTTCCTGCCAGGGCCCTGCTGACCCTGCCAGCAGGGAAGCAAAGTGTAAATAGGGTAAATACCTGTACAGCGGGGTTTGAAGTGAATCACTTTAGTATCACCGAGGTAATCAACAGACTGTCAGAAGTGGCTTTTCTTTGTTGTGCTTGGCTTGGTTTGAATCTGTGGTATGAAAAGAAAAGCTCTGCCTCCCATTTTTCAGGCTGTTACTTCCTACTCGTGTGAAGCTGGCATAAACCTGCGTGTCCAGCATCAGAGTTTCCTCCTCCCTTGAACTGGCAGGGACGGTTTGTATAGCTACATGATGAGTAGCATTAGAGAACTGTTCCAGGTTAAAAATTCAGCTTGAGGTAGTTCCTAGATCTGTTCTGCTGTGTGCTTACAAATTGTGCCAAAATAAGGAGGGAAGTGGGGGGGTAAACAGTTTCTTCTGGCAGCAGTGCTGGCCTGAAGGTGAAACTGCAGCGTCATTCCCTGCCCTGCGTGCCCTCCCACCCCAAACAGAACCATACTTCTCAGCTGAAATGTCATTTCTTCTCTGTGGCAGCACAACCCAAAACCTCATGATTTCATCTCAGTGTACATTGCGAATTTGTGAGCTGTATTCATAATAATGTAAGGAGCATTAACTGATCAGAGAGACTGCTGGAGGTAAAGGGCAACGTGCTTGAGAGAGAGCCGTCGTAAGTAAAGCAGAGCATATCGGACTTCTTTAAACTCACTGGTGGCCACTCTGAAAAGGTAGTGGTGACTGTCACCTGGCAGTGGGCAACGGAAAGGAGGGGGGTGGACGTGGAGCCACTTGCAAGACTGCCGCCGCAGCATTATTTTCTGTCATGGCTCCTGTAGCTGCAGGAGTCATTCTGCAGCTCATCAGAGATGCTCAGCCTGCCAAGCGCCCAGGTAGAGTGCTAGTTCCTTGGAAGGTGCGGTAAGGTTAGTCGAATACTCGGTACCATGTGCACAGAATAGCCTTTGAATGACAAATCAGGATCTAATGCTTTCTGGAATAAAGTAAAAGTGGTGTTTCTTATGTGTCTATATTTTATATATTCAGCAATGCATTGTATATGTGTACTTTTCTGGTGTTCTTACAGTGTTTTAAGGTGGTATGTGTCCCCGCTGATCTCCGACTAAAGGTGCCTATGTATTACATGCTCCTGTGGATTTTTTAAAAGCAATTATACTGCTATTGCATAATAAACCGTAAAGAACATGGTGATGGCTGTCCTCTGGTTTCACCACCACCCCAGCTGAACTGTTGGAACTCAGTTCACCTTTCGGAGGAAAAAGCCTGCACCTTTTCGCAGTGCCGCGTGCGCCCAGTGTACATAATGTAAAGGCTTTAGACGGATCCCTTTTCCCCAGATGCTGACTCTGTTTCTGCTGGCACTGTGCCCACACAGGAGAAGGAATTTTCTCAATTTCCTTTAAAGAGGCCAAGCTATTTGAGTCATTTGAGATCACACATAGGTTAGGTTTAGTTATTACAAATGCGAAATTGGCAAATGACAGAAAGTGCATCTGTTCTAAACACAAAATGCTGCACATAAGGTTACGTGTATTTAAATTTATTCCAGATGCTCTTGTTCCAATTGGTGTCTTTGTTTCTCTACTTCTCAGCGATGTTCCTGTTGTTCAACCAATTTAAATCACACTTAATTCACTATATTGCCATTGTTCTGTGCTGAAAGCCAGGCATGCATTGCAGGTATTGTAATTAGTTGTCTACACAATGTCTTTGTGTAATTGGCGGTGGGAGGAGGAGAAATTTCACCAAGGTAAGAACAAACACACCTCCTTTTAATATTAAGAGAGCAGATACGCTCTTACCTCATCTACCCAGACAGATCAACGCCCGTGGACGCAGACTCATTCACGCAGACGTCCGTCATTCTCACCATGCGTCTCCTGCGCGCATCCTTTCCATGCTTATCGTGCTCCTTAACACGTGGAACCGGTGCTGGTGTGACTGCAGGCAGTGGGGGGGGACAAGGAACTTGCCCTTTCAGCACCTGGTGGAGGCGTTTTCAATCGGCGCACCCCCAGCTCTGTGTTTGCAAGCCACTGGCAGCTCTGAAAATGCCTTACGAAGTCTCCTCGTCATCAACATTGAAAACCTGGCAATTTTATTTACTCTCTTAGTGTGGTTTTCTGGACAATACTGAAACAGCTGTAGACAGCATTCTGTAGCTTAATGGTTCCATGGTTTGTTACTCAGTTTTTTTAACCAGGTCAATATTTGCCAGTATATGCCAGTATTTTCTTAAGAATTTTTTAAAAATAATTAGAACCCACTAACTCTTGTCTAGAAAACTATATATAACAATGTGCATTAACATAACAAAACATCTCATCACTCCTATAAACATCTTGTTTTAAATATTCTGTTTTTCAACAGATTACACTACGCAGCTTTTTTGAGTAGTTTTTATCTACAGCTTTGAATCATGGTAGCAGAAACTAAATGTTAGTATTTTTGCTTTCTGCTTTACATACACAATACAGTGAGGTTTCCAAAACATGCAGTGTAAAAGTAATTGTGTGTACTAGACAAATACAAAATAGTTTCTTTTGCATCTATGGCACTTCAGCTTTGAGTGTAGCAAGTAAAAGATTAAATAATTTGCACTGACATAAAAGCAATATTCCCTCTTTACTTTTCTTTAATAGATCCTTGGAATATACTAACAATACTTGTGTTTGTACGAGTGTCTGGGAAAGAGCTGTGAGAATCACATTTCCCAGACTGTGTGGAAAAAGAAAAGAATTTGCTAAATATATTTAAAGATGGCTTCACAACTCGTACCCTTAACAGAACTTAAGCCCTGTGTTTAATTACAGTGTCTGGAATCACTGAAGGAATTTGGGCTGTGAAATGGCAGAGCATTGAACAACATTCGTCCCATTTTATGTAAAGTTTGGTTGAAGACCATAGGGAACGACCAAGGCACCACAATGATACATAGACTAAATAACGTTTATTTGACTATAGAATATTTTCATTCCTGACACTGTGTTTCTGGTCATACCACACTTTGTTGTAAACACAAGCTGTGGCTGACTGATTATCATGCGTACGTTCAATCAGTTTGGGTACATGTAGGCCACTCCTCAGTGTACAGGTAGTAGCAATGTAAACAATTAATACTAATTTCTTCCCTTCCCTATTTAAAAGAAAAGGCCCAGTAACGTGGTGGCCAAACTCGCCTGCATCTTTACCAAAGGTCCACTGAAAGCAGGGGGTGCTGCTGTGGAAGAAGCGTGTACTGCTCTGCCTTGTGTCTTTCCTCTCCTTTGAATGTTAATTTGGCATCTTTACAATCATTAAATGTGTTCAAAATTCTACTGAAATCTATTGCTCATCTGTTTTTCTTTCCCATTTTCAGCCATCCCTTTTCAGTGAAGTTATTTACCCTTTGTAAAGAAGAGATCAAACGATCCAAAGACATCCGGAAGCTTCGCTCCAGCATAGGAGTGTGAGTAGATGAAATAAAGTAATCTTTGCTCATAAAAAGGGAAGAACATTTAATTACAGTACGTACCAGATGTAAAAGCTGGGTCCGTTTCAGGTGAGATTTAACCGAAAACTGCACACAAATACGTGTACCATAAGGTGGTGAGAGTTTCATGTACTCCTGGGTGGCTGGGATGAAAACATACGAAGGATCTGATAAAATCAAACTATGTTTAAAATGTTGGTGATATTCTTAAAGATGCAGTGAAGCATTTGCTTTTTGCTTATAGAGAGCTTGACTCGGTCAGTGCAAAATATGTATGATTGATGTTTTACGTGCACTAGAAAGAGCTGAAAACATCTGCAGAATACTTGTCTGGCGTTAGGGTGAAAGCCCTCAGTTCAGGTAGCGGAGATGAGGAGGGAAGAGAAAAAAAGACAAAGCATTGCAAAGCTGAGCAAAGGTTCATTGGCAGAAACTTGGCAAAATTATTGCGGTGTAACGATGTCAAGCAATGATTTTATGGACTTTCATTTCTTTACTGGCAGTATTTTAAGCGTACAGGAAAGCCTAAAATGAGATGTAGCCCATGTTCCTGATTTGGCTTTTGCTCTGGACTGCGTCACCCGAGCACAGCCCACCCTGCACTGCTGCTGTCGCTGTTCAGATGAGGGGCTTAGCGCAGAGACTGGTGCTGCCGCTCAGCAGCTTTAAAACCACGTTTGGACTTGGCAGCGATGTGTGGCATGTCGGGAGCCCTCACGGGTTTCGCTGCACTCCCCTCAGTGTTTGCTTTCCCACAGCACTCAGCACTGAGACTTCCTGCGGCAGCAAGGCTTCCCCTCCCGCCCTTCTTTCTGATACACAGCTTCATTCTCAGCCCCAAAATGGACTTTTGTGGTTATAACACTAGATCTGTTTTTTTTTCCTTACGTTTTCTAGGTTTTGTGGCCTGATTCAATTTCAAGGAGACATGAGAGAGAAAGTTTTTTTTCAGTTGTTTCTCCTTCTTTGCCATCCCTTCCCTGTAGTAAGTATGGAACACATTGCATATTATCAAATGTATTGTTCAAAATACTTGACAAGTAAAAAATAATTTGAAGTGCATTAAAGCAGCATTCTTTTTAACGGATATCAATGTCTATAACAGGTTTTACTTCTCAAGGTTCTGCTACCTGCAATGCTGCCACCTGGATCCTTGCAGCACGTACTGCTTTTCCACTTTCTGTCCTTGCGGGTTTAAATTAGAAGCAATTTAGGTGCCTACGTCATTTGTTGCTTTTACACAGCACTCAGCAGGGTGAAGATCTAAGCTCTGTTCACCATTTAGTACTTGAAAGTTCCAATCAGATAAATCACTGTTAGTTTTGCAGTATTTCTGATAGTAGCAACACGGTAGTAGTTCTGGTTCAAAATAAAGATATTTTTTGTCAGGTGTGATGAAAGCTTGTGCAATGCAGAAAGTTTCTCAGAAGTTACCTTTTTCATAGAACTGAAACAGGGCACAAAAATCTGAGCTACTACTGCCGAGCCTGTGTAAGAGCTGATGATATGTGGGACAATTATTCTCTTAGTCCTTTAAAATTTCTGTTGACCTAGTAAGGTCTGGGTTGGTTTTTTTTTTTCACTGTACACGACCTGGGAGCCCCGCCTGGCAGCGGCTGGGAGCGCCAGACGTACAGCAGCTCTCTGTGGCGTTGGGGTTCGATACAGGGGGTCTCACCTGGGAGCTCGGGGCTGTTCCTGTGAGTAAACAAGGACTTGCAGCTGCGCTGCTACATCAGCCATAAAGCTGCAGCTCTACTCGAGTGGCGTAGCAGAAAGGAAGGCTGTCAGAAGTTACTGCAACCCCTGAGTCTTCAAGTGGTTTGAGAATGTGTTGAAGAGCCTGGTGTCTGGCCAACGCAAACCAACGTTGTTTATTCTAACATGGATTACTTTTGCTGATTACTTTTTGATAAGGTTAAAATCATACGGTACTCAGCAAAGTTTGTTACCTCAGATTTTTATTCCAACTGTTTCCATTTGTGTGTACTTGCTATGTGAAGAACCCTTTGCAGGAAGGGCACGGTGTAAGAACCAAAGACAGATCATTTCAATTTCATAGTTTATTGGTATTTTCCATCATAAATATGTTTTGTTTTTACAGATAGGTTGATTTAATTTGGCACTACTACTCCAGAAATAACCCTGTAATTTCTTTGCCTTCCTTTAGTTATCATCAGGCTTTCTGAGGGGACAAAGGGGGGAAAAAAAACAACACCCAACCAAAAAACCAAACAAAGAACAGAATTTGTTGCAATTTTGCTGATTTCCATTTAATACCTTTCTCTGCACTGTACTGCAGAAACCAGCCTAGCAGCTTTTTCTGTATGCACACCAGCATCACTACTAAACAGTGCTCTGGGAAAAATACTTGCAAATTAACTGCTCCGGAACCCAGAGTGTAAAAAGCTAACATTACTCGCATCGTCATCATCTATCTCCCACCAGGTTTTTAAAGAGTTTTGCTGACTCTTACAGTCTCCAGACTGGGAAATCTGTTTTGTGAGCCTATAGCAACTGGAGTTAGAGCCAGACTTTGGCTCAGTGAGTCATTTCAAGAAAAGAAATGTTCCAGTTGGGCCAAACATTTGAATTCATTCCCCGCAGGGGACAGATCTTAATCTGAAATCCTGCAAAAGTACAGTGAAAATATATAGCATGAATTTCCATTAGGTACAGGAACGAGGTCCCTTCCTGCAGGAAATCGCTATCAGAGGCAAGGAGAGGCTGTAGCTCTGAGTAGTAAACAGAGTCCACCATAAAATGATTGTCAGTGGGAGGAACCAGTACCAGCAGTGGCCCGGGGCTCTTCCCTGCAGCACTCTGGATACTTCACGAAGCTTCCTCTGCCTCTTCTCCGCAGATCCGGAAAACAACTGCCAGTCAAGTGTATGAAATGTTGATAACCTACAGCGACGTCGTTGATCCTACCATTATGGATGAGGCTATGACCATACTCAGCGATACCAACTGGTAGGTGAATTTGTTGCCAGATAGTAATAAGCATGGAAATAATTTTTGTACCACTGGAGTTAGTTAAAAAAAAAAAAAAAAGTTGATGCCTTTGAAAGCTGATGGCAAGGAAGCTGTAAGAAACGATACTGCAGTTTTAGCTGTTTATTGCTTCTGGGCCAGAAAAGCATTGCTGGGAAGAATTCTTCAGTTCTTTAGAGCTATCTAGTATATTGTCCCACTGGAGGCAGTATGTAGAAAGTCACCACTAGATAAAGTAAAATATCCATATTTTTCTAACAACATAAAAAGGGAGGAGATCTTGGAACTTGTCCATGAAACAGAGAGAGACAGGGCTGTGCAAACAGTCAAACTTCAACTGCACAGACAGTTTCTTGGCATTTAGGAACACTGGCAGGATTTTGGGAGAGGAAGGATCTCTGCAAGCTGGAAAACAACAGAATTAGCAGAACAGCTCAAATCTCCCATGAAATGTAATTACTCAAAATGCTACAAACGTATTCAAGCAAATATTTTGAATTGGAACAGTTTAGCTGTTTCCCAAGCATATGATTCCATGAATTAGCCACTTTTATATAGCATAGGTGGGTTTTTTACCCACTGTTACCTGTAACATTAGCTTCTTCCAGGCACAGGGGGAACAGGGGCTCATTCTTCACACGTGTCCTTTGGGGGCAGGAGGAACGCCTTCCTCAGCACCTTTGAAGTGGGAGGAGGAGGGAATACTCGCCATAATTTTGGCCCTGTTTTGTTCCCTTTTGGCAAATTTTTACCATTGTACATTATAGTCACCTGGAAAAGTTTAGAAAAGACCGCATGCCTCAGCTGTTTGAGGCAATAACAGTTTTAAGGTACTAACAGTTTATTAGTTTTGCTGCCACGTTGAACATTTTTCCTTGTTACAGATGACTCTCCTGGATTATGGGTCCAGCCCAACACCCTGCTTCAAACAGTAGTCAAAGTTAAAACATGAAAATAGATATAAAAAAATACATATTTAATCATTATATTAAATGCTTTTTGTGTCTTCATTGACATTTCATGGAAATAAAATTGACCTAGAGCTGTTCAAAGAACAAACATACCTTCAGGTTGGGGTTTACATATTTTCAGACTGCATGCTTAATATTGAATTTCTATTTTATTTCTGTGGTTGAGCTTAAATAACTTTGTATTTGGGAAAAGAAAACTATGTTTGTCATTGTAAGGGGTGGCTGCTGCTATTTTTCTGAATTTTGCAGTACAAAATTAGAGTAACGGTCTCAGAGTTGAAGAATGGGTTATCAACAATTCTGCCTATTGCTAAAGGGCCTTGCTCAACTGCATATTGGTGTTTCGTGTTGTGTTTAGTGTGATTCAGTGCTCGCTTATGCAATCTGCATTTAAGAGCAGGCTTGCTCACAAGTTACAGAAAGAATTTGTTAACAGAAACAATTGAGTAGGATTAGATTAGTGCTGTCACAAAGGGATGTTTACAATACCAAAATTAGAAGTGGCACACACCAAATTGCTACAGAAAAAGCGGTGGTCGCACAAATGGGTTACTAAAACAAAGCAAAACGTTTCCTGAAAACCACTTCAGAAAACTAAATACTCTGTTTTCAGCTTGTCATTTTTAAGGTGTGACTGGCTCCTGTTTTATTCTGTCTTAGTTCAGGGCTTGCTCAAAGTTCCCCGTTGCAATATGTCCATTGCGCTAAGATTAAAGACGAAGAGCTAGTTTACTTAAAACTTAATTGTTTTATCTTGGTAGATTTGAACTGTTTACAAAAGAAGATATTTGAAGTCATTGCTGAGTGTCAGAGGGAGCTGCTTGTTATTCTCAAGCTCTCTCAGTGCTAAACCAATCACAGTAAATTCTGAATTACAGTAAGTGTTAATATCAGGAAGCCAAATGAGAATTAATATTGGGGGGAGATGATAATTACTGGCATATGCATATTTGTTCCTTGTTAGAACTACAGAGAGTTTATCATACAGTTGTGTAATTCAGAATTTAAACAAGTTACTCTATAAATAATAAATTCTGTTTAGCTACAGGAAGGTTTCCAAGTATCACATCTGACAAATTGTCCAAGGTGTCCAAAAAAAAAAGTAGTTCAGGTTATTTCTAACTTCCCTTTATGCTTTTCCTCTCTAGTTTTGGACTCTGTTTATGTGCCAAGTTACATTTTTAGTGGCTCATTTACAGTTGTTACTTAAGAAAAACAAAACAAATTACAGAATTAGTGAGCAATACCAGCAGTCTCACAGCATTCCAGTTAGAGTGGCAGATTTTTCCAAGGAAAACAATGTTGTCTGTCTGGATTTTTGGCATTTGGGGACTTTTTGTAACTGACAGTTCTTGAGGAAATTATCTCATGGACATCATGCTATTTCAGAAACTTTTTTAAAGACTCACTCACAAGGTTAAGGTCTGTATTTTCAGTTTCAGGAGAAAGCCTCTTCAGAGAGTAATCCACTGACATTTATTTAAATTCTTGATGTGAAGTTTTCTAAAGCAATAAGGAGCTGTAAATTTAGAGAATAAATTAGTGAACTTCTAGTCAAAAGGGTTGTATGACTAAGTGTTATTTTTTTGGAATACAGAAATCTAAAAGAATAGTCTCAGACACTGTACAAGTTAACTGTCACCTCTGCAAGACCTGCTGTGTATTTCTGGCTTATCCGGCTTAAGTTTTACAAAAATTTGACATGATTCTTAAAATGCGACACAACAAAAACTTCTACATTTTGAACTGTACATGAATGTATAGATGCATACCTAGTAATATAATAATAAAATGGATAGCTTGCTTAGTTGTATGCATGTAGCCAACTTCAGGTTTCAATTTTGGAATTAACTGGGAAACACTTCCTCGTGCAGGGAAGCTGAACTGCCAGTAGTAAGGGAGAAACGCAACTGGCTCTGTGACCTCATGAAAGTGCCCAAACCGCAGCTGGTGCCCAAGGTAAAGTACGGAAATGTGCTCCTGAGGGGGTTTTCAAAGAAACATAGTAATGATCAGTTGTTCCGCCAGATCTACTCTGTACTTCTGTGCAACAGATGCAGTTCTTCACTGGTTCGGGAATATATCAGCGTGCACCAGGAGGAATGTCCTCACAGCTAACTACAGAATATACGGAATTGCTGGAGACTCTTGTCTTAAGCCCTTCCAGTCTCATTTCTTGAAAACATTCCAGACTTGTAGTGTGACATCTTACTCACACAAAACGCAAGAATGAAATAATACAGTGCAGATGTTCCAAAAACTGTTCGTCTGCCCTTTCTGGGGAAAGAAAAAGGATAAAAACGTCCCCGTTCATTTCAACAACAAAATTGTAACGTGGCTGTGCAAGCCACAGAATTCTAACGCTGCCTAAGAGGAAGAATACAATCTAAAAGTCAATACATTCAGAAGAGGACAGACAGTATAGCCATATGTAGGTCCCATGTCATCTTATTGCATGCCGATAGTTTGGCATTGCCCACCTGCTCGGTATTTCACAAGCACAGACTGTGCTGCTTTGGTAAGGGGGTCCGAGAGGTTCCTTTCCTTTCCTCTCTGTCCAAAGAGGAGGGGGCTCAATTACTACTGTTTTAGAGAACATGTGTTAACATGACAATTTATAAACACAAATTATTTTTACTTTGAGTAAGACAAGACAAGGTGAAAATGCTTGATGACCCAAGGCTACTTCCCTTGTATCACAGGCATCCGCAGCAGATAATCTATTCCATAAACTGATTAAGCTTAAAAATAGTGGTATATTCATTTATTCTTGGCCTTTGTAATTTTTATTGTTCTGCTTTCATAGTTCTAGAAAGTTTTGTCCTTTGTAATTACTTGAGAATTCAGGAACATCACCTGTGCAATCATCTCTCCTAAGATTTTTCTAATAGGGTGGATCTTCATTTCCTTCGTTTTCTAAAATACTTGCACACCATTAAGTGTATTTTCATGACTAGAATTATGCAAAGCATTATGTTGTTGCCCTGCACAGTTGCATTTAGAATTGCGTCAGCCTTTTTCAGCATCTGTGGCTGAAAGTCACCAGGTCTGTTCTCCAGAGCATCGAAAGCTGATCTTGGGTAACGGAGCTTTGAGAGCACCTCTGGGACTGGCTCTTGTGAGAGTACGTTATCTGTCTGTGAGGTCAGCCAGTTCTTCCTGGGTAATAGTCTGGCAATCCTTTACTCTGAAGATGTTTCCTAATGTAAGAAGATCCTATGTTTTGAGTTCTCATTGATACTATTTTTTTTAATACATATATATATATATATGT